ACAGATTTCACGATGCATGATAGAAAGGGTCCGGGACACACTGAAGTGTTGGGTAAAAGTGAAGGAGCTGTGGAACGCCTACCACAAGGGGCAGGCAGCAAACGGCTGCTCCGGTGCTGCGCCCATGAGCTGCCGGTTCTACAAAGAGCTGGATGCGATACTTGGCGGCGACCCCACCTCCACTGCGAAGGCCCCTGTGGATACTTCGTTGGCTCACATGCCAGTCGAGAGCGGAACAAGCCAGGAGGAGGAAATCTTGGACAAACAGGAGTCCCCTGGTAAGTGGATCTGATTTTGGGAATTGCTGAAGCGATCTATTGGGGGCAGGAGGGTTGCAGAAATCAGGCTTGTCTCCCACTGCATGCCTATTCTGAGCAGCAGAACAGGCTGTTGACAGACTCACTCACTTCATGGGAATCTCCCTCAAATCTCCAGGAAACTCTCGTGGATATACTGGGCAATCCACTGCGGCAGGTTCCTTGGCAGAGCTGCTTTATTTCTTGCCCCATTAACAGTAACTTTCACGCACCACTGTGCCATCACGGGGGGTGGGGAGGGAGGGAAGAGAGACCATTGCTGCGCACAGGCGACCCCCATAGGGGCCAGAATGGAAGCCACAGGCTTAGAGAAGACCCTCTCTGGATTCCCTGCTCACCCCCAGCAGCGAGATATCTTCCATAATGATCACATCTTGTGGAAAGTGTGGGGACAGGAATGATTATCAAGCCCCCCATACTGTGCTGGCTCTCCCCAAGAGCCACATGCCCACTGTACAGCAGGGTCCAGGAAGAGAGATTCATCCTGCCCTTGCGGCTACTCACCATTTTGGGGGTCTTGTGGCTCATGTGTGCTTGTCTGGGGTCAGCCAATTAGTGTCAGGTGTGAGAGTACTGGCTGTGTTTTAAAGCACTGAATCAGTGTTGTCTGTGTTGCAAACAATACTGCTTCTGTAAAATGTTGCATTTAAACTTCACAGAGATGACCTTGGGAGGCCACCCTCCCTTATCGGCAGCAGAACAGCTGCGCAGAATTAGAAAGCAGCTACGAAAAACTAAGGAGGACTTTCTCCATGAGGTTATGATGCACTCCACCACTGAGAAACAGGAATTGAAGGATTAGCGGGGCAGCAAGAAGAGGGACCAAAAGGAGAACACGGCACACCAGAAAGAACCCATGGAGCGGCTCTTAAACGTTATGGAGCGCCAAGTGGACACATTCCAGGCGATACTAGCTCTTCAAACAGAGCAGCTCTGCGCCCGCCCTCCCCTGCAGCCTCTGTCACAAAACTCTTTCCCATGCGCCCTCACACACACACACACACCCCGCCAACACACTTATCAACCTCCTGGCTCCACTCTCTACCCGCAACATTCCACTCCTCTCTCCTCACAGTCCAGCAGTATGAACTACCACTACACTCAACACCCATCCCTCTACAGTTTGGCCCTGCTGAAGTACAGCACCTGCTGCATTGTACTCCAAAGGAGAAGGCTGGGTATGATCCCTGGACATACACAAATCTGTAGCCATTCCGGGACCCCTCCTCCTCCTGATACCTTCCCTTCCTCCATCCCTGCTGATGAATTTTTTCATTTGACTCTCTCTCCTCCAGTTGTTGTCTTTTAATAAAAGAATTGTGTTTGTTTGAAAGCAATCTTGCATCATGTGCACCAATCACCTCCTAGCATTACAAGCACTGCAATCCCGAGCATAGCAACAAATATTACTGGCTTTCAGCTTCAAATTGCTGCCTCAAGGCATCCTTGATCCTTATGGCACCACGCTGTGTCTCGCTAATAGGCCTAGTCTCTGGCTGTTCAAACTCAACCTCCAGGCGCTGATCCTCTGCGGTCCAGCCCTGAGTGAAGCTTTCACTCTTCTCTTCACAAATATAATGGAGCGTACAGAACGCAGCTATAAGCACAGGAATATTGTCATTGGCCATGTCCAGTTTCCCATACAGGTATCGCCAGGAGGCTTTTACACGGCCAAATTCACACTCAGTTATTCTCCGCCTGTTGTTGAACCGCTCCTTGCTGCTGTCAAGTTGCCCCATGTACAGCTTCATAAGCCACAGCATTAAGGGGTAGGTGGGGTCTCCAAGGATCACAATGGGCATTTCAACTTCCCCTACAGTGATCTTCTGGTCCAGGAAGAAAGTCCCTGCTTGCAGCTTCCTGAACAGGCCAGTGTTCTGGAAAGATGCACGACGCGCGCATCTTTCAGATCAGCCTGAGTTAATGTCCATGAAACGTCCACAGTGATCCACAAGCACCTGGAGAACCATTGAGAAATACCCCTTCCAATTAATATACTCAGTGGCTAGGTGGTCTGGTGCCAGAATTGGAATGCACGTGCCATCTATCGCCCCTCAGCAGTTAGGGAAGCTCATTTGTGCAAAGCCATCCACAATGTCATGCAGGATGTCCAGAGTCACGGTCGTTCGCAGCAGGATGCGATTAATGGCCCTGCACACTTCCATCAACACGTGTCCAACGGTCGACTTTTCCACTCTGAACTGGTTAGCAACTGATTGGTAGCAGTCTGGAGTAGCCAACTTCCACAGTGCAATCGCCACGCACTTCTCCAATGACAGGGGAGCTCTCATTCTCGTGTCCTTGCGCCGCAGGGCTGGGGCGAGCTCATCACACAGTCCCATTAATGTGGCTTTCCTCATGCGAAAGTTCTGCAGCCACTGCTCATCATCCCAATGTGACCCCATCACTCAGTGCTTGTTTCCCGAGCCCAAAAGCAGAGTTCCACTGTGGTCAGCACCTCTGTGAAAGCCACAAGCAATCTCATGTCATGGCTACTACGTGTGGCGAGATCAACGTCGCACTCCTCTTGACTTTTTAGTTTAAGGAATAACTCCACTGCCACTTGTGACATGTTGGGCAGAGCAAGCAGTATACTGGTCAGCAGTTCGGGATCCATTCTGCAGCCTGAAAGAGGTAGGGCGTGCAGTACACAAACCATTGAAAGATGGTGCCAAATGCGGACAGAAGCACAGGGTTTGCTGGGATGCTAAACACAGCTCAGATGTGAGGACCTCCAGAATAGGACACCAACCCCTTTCTTCTCTGGGTTGAGAAAATAAGTCTAAGTAGGCACTGGAGAGGGTGATCTACAACTCTGGAGCAGTGCTCCTTCCTACCCATAAGAAGTTCTAGAAGCCTGAATGGAGGCAGATAACGGAGGCCTCTTGGTCAACACAGCCCAGGAACTTAGGATGGAATGACACCTACCCAGGGTGCTCATAGAAAGGGACTGACCACAAGACTGAGTTCTAGCTGTGTCCTTCCTTTCTATGTCCAAGGAGGCTTGCATAGCCACTCCAGAAGAAACATTTTAGGCCGGCTTCTCTAGCTTTTTCAGTCTGCTTAGAGAAGGATCGACATACGGTACATTGCTCAGGAATATGTTCCTCTCCTAAACAACATAGGCACCAAGAGTACCTGTCATTAAGTGGCTCTGAAACCTCAGGCAAGCAGAAAGATTCTAACCTTAAACCTAGAACCTTACTAAAGTTTTAAAAAATTGCTGCATGCTGCCAATAAGCAACAAGACAAACTACCCACCTACCCCACACCTAACCCTTACCTACCACCTAGCTCAGGGTGCAGCACAGGGGTCAGCACCACCATGTTGCACGATGGACACTTGACAAAATTACTACACTTAGTGACAGATGGGGGGAGCGCGTTTATGTCATTCAATTTTTTTTAAAAATACCACGGACATGGTGCTGACCCCTGGTGCAGCAAAGCAGGCAGACACTGCAAGAGTTCTGTCTTGCTGCCACAGGCAGGAAGAAGAAAATGAGGGATGATTTGGTCCACTCTGCTCTCTATGCCTGGGGTGGGAGGGAAAGAACACCTTGGGCTGCACCAATGCCCTTACAAACACCATTGGCCAAAAGAAGCAGATCTTGCACACATGAGGCACACGTACACCAAGAGTAAAAATATCCGGACAATCACGCAAAGAAAAACTACCAATTTCTACATTTCTAAGTGAGGTCACTCTTCTTGCTTTTTTTTTTTTTAGTAAAACCGGCTGAAGTCTGCACAGCAATTTAAAGCTTTGTACATTTGCTCTAAAAGAGTCAGGATTTTACTAATGTAGAATAACCTGAAAGTTGAGTGTATCTTAACTGAAATAGAAAGGCGTTTTCTAACCCTATTATCTGTGAAATATTTTCAGTTTACTTTTTGGGTGGGTGGGGGAGGAGAAAAGGAGAAGTAAAGAGAAGAAACAGATTATATTCAGTTGTTTCTACAGCAACCCCACAATTTTTAATTTTTAAAGGTTGCCTCAGCTACTCAGCAACCATAATTCTGACCCAGCAATAAAGACCTAGATGCCAAGGCTAACCTTTCAGGGAGCACTGTCAGATCACTGTGAAAAGGACACTCAAAATTGCCAAGCTGTGTGGTTTGATGTCACAAATTCATTTTAAGAAGGTGCAAAAAGCTGGACTTAAGAAAACAGATTTTAAGATTTCCCCACCTCCAAATCAAGAGAGAACTATGTCTTTAATCAGGAAATGAAAAATAATTTTGCAAGATCTCCAAGAGAGACATGAAAGTATAAAATAAAGTGGTCACATCTGGATACCTGAAGCTCCAGCAATGCAAAATACATTAACATTCTTAATTACTGTATATTCCTGTGTATTAACCAACTCTCATAAGTTATCTTTGTGATATTTGTTCAGTGAAACAGAAGTTATTTTAAATACATAATTCTGATACTAACATCTATGCTCCTTATAAGATCCACACTTGCAGGTCTTAGATGAGCAAATGAGGTCTATACGAGTGAGCTGTTTGCGAACCTGCTCTATAATCTGAAGGAGGACCAGAGGCTTCTCTCTTCCCTTGTTTTGAGTCTTATATGAACGTCCATTCCAGAAATTCCCTTGAAATTTTGTCAGTTTATGCACCAGTATATACAGTAAATTCTACATTACCTGAAACCAGACTGAACCTCTTTCTTACCTCAACAGCAAGTACTTCCACAGTGTTGTCCAACAGTTTTATTTTAATCAGTAGATCCCTCTCATGCATTTTGGCAGGTGTCATTGCCATTGCTGTAGAAAGATTCTGCTCTGGCTCCAGCGTACTCACTCCGGTATTCTTCTGGACTCCCAAACGAGAACCAGGAGTCTGCAGTATTCTGTACGTTCCTTCTATCTCCCCCATTATTCAGCAACAATGTCAAATACCTAAAGGGGAATATAGAGAATAATGCCTAAGAAAAAAAATAGATATTTTTCATTAAATCACATTTCAAAATGAAGATTCTACAAACAGAAAGCATAATTCTACATTGAAAAATTATACATGGAGTCCTAGGTACTTATTTGTTCAACTACCAAAATAATCAAATTTCAATATTTAAAAAAATAAAATTGATCAAAATGAGTTTGAAAAAGCCAACTACCGGGGAAGAAAAAAACCAAAAACAGAGACAAAAAACAAGCAGTAACAAACTAAAAACAGTCAATCAGAAATATGGACAGGAAACAGGAAAGTATGGGCAGAGAACATGGGAGCAAGTAGTGAGAAGAAACTTGAACAGGGAATGATTAGCACCGAGTCTAAATTATTCCAACCAGTGTTGGCAGCTAGGAAGCCTCATGATGTAGGATTCTGAAACAGATAACGGTTCCAAATTATTAGGGAGTCAGCATGCCAACCAGATTAAGTCAAGTATGCAAAAATATCAGTTACGTTTGAAAATGTTGCCGTTCAATTAGTACACCCAATACAAAGTGCTCATCACTAACATTTTGCTTGAAAATATGGAAAGAAGAAGAAAAACTACACTTCAAACGATGACATGAATCAAAGAAGAAAAAAAACTTCAAGTTTGTTGTTTGCACTCTGGCCCAGATCATCAGGACCAGCCACTTTGTGCCCACTGCAGTTTGGGGAAAGGGACATGGAAAAGGTGACTTAGCATCACTTTTGGAGATCTGTGGATTGACAGTCCTGTCACAAAGAAGTAACTTAGACAGTAATTTTGTGTCTGTTCTAAATTGCACCATCTACAATGGGCCCAAGGGACAGTTTTAGCAACTAGGAATTGTTTAAGCACAAAGGACTAGCCATGCTCCCTTTTCCTCAGCCACATCCCCTGCACTAGAGGTTCCAATGAATGTGGGGATATCTGGCTATCTGCTACACCAGCTCTACATCACGGCAGGACTCCTCTACACAAAGGGATTCCTCAGCAGGCCACTTGTGCCAACTTTAAGTTTGCATTACACCACCAGAGCAGCACAAAGAAAAACTTAATGGGGCCAAGGATCCAGCCTGTGCCTTTAAATGGCAGCATCATAAATGGGTACTGCAGGATTCCCCATATAACATGTCATCTTACAAGCCACTGTGAAGAATGCTACACTTGCAGCGCTGATTTTCTCAATTTCACATAGAAACTGCACAACCTCAACTACACAGAAACCGTACTGTTAGTGCTCTCCATTCAGCTACCACATAAGAGAACATAAATTGAATGTCGGGCTTAATTTTTAATTTATTTGTTTTGTAATAAACATGCTTTTTCTTTAAAAAAATTATATCCATTTATTTCTAATGCACTCTTCACTATAGACAGAGTTTGAAAAAAAAAAAAAATCTACTTGTCCACATACTCTGAAAGCTGAAATTATTTGCCTACTAGTTACCTAAAATTAGAGAAAAATATGTTTCCCCACAGTTTACTTTGTGTGTGTGTATACACCTCTACCCCGATATAACGTGACCCGATATAACATGAATTCAGATATAACACGGTAAAGCAGTGCTCCGGGGGGGCAGGGCTGTGCACTCCGGTGGATCAAAGTAAGCGCGATATAATGTGGTTTTACCTATAACGCAGTAAGATTTTTTGGCTTCCAAGGAGAGCATTATATCGAGGTAGAGGTGTATATTATGATTTTTATATTATATATATATATATACACACACACACACACACACCATTTTGTATTTATTTTCACACTATATATGATTTCCAGCTATACATAGTGAGAAGTACTTCTGATTTTTTTTTTTAATTGCTGGACTCAAAATAAAACGTTCCTTGGTTTAAAAAAAAAAGTATTAAAATCTGAAGCAGTTTTAAAATAAGAAAAAACTTGCAATCTGCCTTTAATTTTTATATTTAATTCAGAACGTAATTTCCAATTTTGAGCCACTAAATTATTAAACCATAACATTTTTTCTAGCTAAGAATTTTAAAGCTATTATAAAAACATCACAACTGCAAAATAGTTTAAATGTACAAGCAAAAAAACAACAAACAAAAAAACCCACCCTTTTTGCAGTGGGTTAAAGGAACCTGTGGTGAATTTTCAAGCACAATTCCTGAAAAACATGTTACAAAGTGCTTTGCATCTCCCAGCTGGTTCATTTGGAACACACAGAACTTTTCCCACAAAGTCAGTATGAAAACATCACTATGATTTTGATACACATGGGCAGGAACTTTTTGAAGAATGTTCCATATTGCAAATTTATTTTAAAATATTGTTTGGCAAGAAAATAAGCTACTATAAGTGACAACTTGATTCTCTAGCACATATACATCTTGCTCTTTCAAACAGACTATCAATATTTCTTCATTTTCTGTCTTACAGTGCAGAATAATGTCATAATTGCGCACTTTAAACAACTGTGACCCCTCTCTCCATAGAAGCCTCCAGAAGTTCAGCAGTAGGCAAAGCAATTACGTATATATAATGCCCCTCATGCACAAGGATTACAGAACACATTGCAAACTTTTTTCTAAACAGACCATGTATATTAAACTTAAGAAACAAGATACTGAACCAGAATTACAGTAATGAGCATATAGAGGTGCCAATGTAATGATTTATATTAAAAAAAGGACTGACGTTTTGTACACAAGGGCTGCCACTACTTGTAACTGGCTGAGAGCTTAACCCTAAAAGCCAGTTAGAAGTGTTTAGAGTAGGGATCTAAATATCCTTTAAAATGTTAACTAACCATTTAAACGATTAAAATTATATTGTTTAACCAGTTAACAGATTAAAGGGAGAGGGGCTGGGGCCACGCCGGGGGTGACCAGCCGGGGGGTTAATGGTTAGGGCCAGTTAACAGTAAGACTAATCCTTACCGGTTAACCATTTAATATTTTACATCCCTAATTTAGAGTGTAATAAAAGAAGCTTCTATAACAATGAAATGCACTCAACTTTTTTGTTGTGTGTGGGGTTGTTGTTTTTTGGCAGTGTGTGTGTCTGTGTGTGTGTTTTAAAGTTTCAAAAACTAGTCAGAGAGCAAGTGAACATTTCCACAGGAAATATCCCAAAGGAGCTGGCACCAGCTAGTGTTAGCTGCGCAGCCATGATCAGGGAAGATCATGGCATACCCTAACTTTCAGCAGCCAGTCAAGGAAAAACTGAGATGCTGCCACTGTCACGGGTACGGAGAGCTTGTTTATGAACATGTCCCTGGCTCTCCCCACCCCCACCCAGCTTGTGGGCCGTAACTACAGGACAGATAAGAGGAGCACCTTTCTCCACGCACAGAAGGCAGTGGGCACCATCTGTTCCGGCACACCCTCGGCTTGCTGGCTCTACCTGTCCCATGGGGGAAAAGAAAGGGGCACCGCGGGCAAGGAAAGCAGCTGCAGGGCCGGTTCCCGTGCGGCCCCCGGGGAGCGCAGGAGCTGTCACGGCGGGCAGAGTACCCATGCGCTACTCGACTCGTAGGGACCACCCCTCAGGCTCCGGGACAGAGCTCGCCCCCCTCACACACACACACACACACACACACACACACACGACGGGACGGGCCGGACAGAGGCTCGCTCTCCGGCCCCATGA